AGTGGTTGGTACTGCAGTGGTTGGTACTGCAGTGGTTGGTACTGCAGTGGTTGGTACTGGAGTGGTTGTGGGTAAACGGAAAGTCGAAGTCACATTCTCCCAGAAATCTGTGAAAGACTGAACAAACGTGGCTCTGAAACATATGAAACATAGAAGACATCCACGTAAATCCTTTGGCTTCTGCATTCACATCAAAAAAAGCAACACATTCACAGCAGGTCAGGTTTGTTCTTGCATTTGGGCGTCAGTCAAAGTATACAAACACTGTAACAGTCACCTGAAGATGACATCTTGATCTATTTCTGGTGCGGTCCAGTTCACTCGGACCAAATCCTTCTCTCGATTGTTGCGTTGGCTAACAGCTGAGTCCTGAGAAGAGCGACAAAAGTCGAGCAAACATCACGGCCATGACAAAGTGACTGTATTGATTCTGTGAGGACGACGCTGGATGATGACTTACTGCTAAACCGCTGCACGTCAGGAGTCGGGTATTGTCAGAATCAAGCAGGAGGAATTTTCCAACCCGTGAGCCGCTGCCTGCGTCTCGAGCCTCCAACATAAATCCTCGAAATCTTGTGGATGTGCTACTGAGGACAACTGGAGAATAGTTTGAGGATTCGACAGAGCGAAGGTTTGGGAACAAAAAATGAAGAAAAATGCTAATGTTCATGTGAACAGACACGATGTGACCAACAAGCCTCCAGAAAAAGTCTCTGTACCTGTAATGGGATCTCCAGATCTGCTGTTCTGTTCATGTTCCACCATAAAGGGGGGTGCAGTGGTCTTAGCGAGGAAAGGGCTCCCATCAGGCTGCAGATGCTGAGGTGATAGTGAATCACATGACTGTGGGAAGTTACCATTTGAAAAGCCGTGCACCTTTGTGATGATGTCGAGGCCGATTAAAATCCACAACCTCATCTGTAAAACAAGTATGATGCTGACAGCTAGAGATGCACTGTGGAGGTATCTGTTCACTTTCCTACAGCAAGTGTTCTCATGCATTTTAAAGTAACTTTGACTGTCCTTGGAGGCTTTCAATGACAGCAATTAAGCTAAAAGTGTTCGTTTTGAGGGTGTCTGAAGGTGTTATTGAATAATTATGTACAATCCCAGAATTTCTGAGCACTGCAGGACAAATTTGCACAATGTTCAGTCACTGTGCATTCAAGTAGCTTTTCAACCTTGTGGATATTTTTTGATTTAAAATGCAGCTTTACAGAACCTGTACACTCTTTCAATCACTTTGAAAATGAGCACTGTGGGATTTAATGTAGAAAATAGGAATCCTTTACATACTATTAGGACTGTAAAACTAAACAGCAAACATTTTTAGAGATCTTTCAAACTGCCTTGAGACCTCGGTGGCAAACACTAAATACAGAGCAACAAAAATGGTTGCACTCTTACCTCAAAACACAGTGTTTGTGTGCTGCTGCCTATATCCTGAGACGGTACGTTTAAATACCAACTACAGCCTGAGACCTGAGAGAAATCACTCCTTTCTCCAAGTCCCTTTCAAAAAATGAAATCTAATGAACGTGTTGAAAGAAAGGAATTCTCCTCACACGGCTGCTAGGTATGCAGTGTGTGAGAGCAATACTACAGGACAGCTGACTGATTCAGGAAGCAAACAGCAGAACCCGCCCACCTGCACAAGTACCGGCAGAACACAGTTCCCCTGAAGTGCTGACATGACGCATGTTTTTATAGTTTGCTGGTTCCTAAAAACATGTGGAAGTTGCTCAAAGGAAATGTGACCTTTGATTGTCTGTGAAGTGTGTCTGCATTTGCATCAAGGAGCAAGATTTACAGTTATATTACAAATTTTACTCACTTTTAGCAAAGTTATTGAAGTTATGTGAGCCACACAGAGCCCAGGAGTCCACAGTCCATATGGCATCGTGTTGTTGGACAGTAATCGGTCACTGTGTCAGACAAGTGTGTCTCGAGGAAATCACTAGTATTGCTGTCATTTAGAAGTAAGATAAAAAATTAAAGGAGTTCATGTTGATATGAGCCCACACCCATCCTGATAACAATACAGAACAATGTCGGCGGTAGAAAATCAGTTCCTCAGACTGAACAATCTAAATCAATCCATAATGACACAGAGAGAAAAAACCAAACAGAAACCTTCTGCTTGTTCTCTTGAAGGTTAATGTAAAATATATGCATGTGATCTCAGAATACTTTTACACTGCACCGTGTTTAAGTGTTTAGCAGCGTTTTGCACTGTACAGTACGTCAAGGCATTGCTTTTTTATTTATTATGTGGGTAAACACTCAAGGACGAGTCGAGCAGCAATGCAGGATAAGACAAGACGAGACGAGATAACCTTTACTGATCCCAGACAGGAAGTTTACAGGTTACAGTAGCTACATGCAGGTGAGGAAGACGTAAATACAAAAGTACACTCAGGCTAAAAACAAAGGTGTAATGAAGACAACGATGAACTGGCATGTGTATGTACAGATCAGACGTGATGAAACGTATAATTGACGGTATCAGTGTGCTCTGATGTTCTTGGACCTCAGGATGGGAATCGTCAAATGTGTGTGTATATTATTGATCACAGGAGGGCAGTACAGCCTCTATGTTCAGACTGTGTCCAGATCTACGTTCAGTCTGAATGTTGGAATGTAGTTTGTGCCACCTGAAGATGGTTCATTGCCTACAAGACAGCACACAAAGGAAAATAGAAAGAGTGAGTACTTCTTGTCATTTTTATGTGAGTTTAGGTAGGTATGTGTATGTTTAAATCATACAGAAATCAGGTTTTACACACAGAAAAAGACGTCATATGAAGATGTAGTTTGTTTCTTTGTCATGCATCAGAGACTGTCAGGTCAGGCACCGGTATCGGCTCTAGGGATCAGTCCAAGTCCAATAACACAGAGTGTAAGATAATTGTTAGAATAATTCTGTTATGATCCAAAGATCTTTGTGAAAAGTCTGAGAATGCTGTAAATGTCCATTGCCTCTACTTCACCTTGTGAGTGTGAGATCAGGACCAGACGTCCTTAGCGGGTGGTCAGAACACCATGAGAACTGGGCCTACACACACACACATTTGCAGGAGGTTGTCTCCTGTTTTCTGTTCACTGTATATAAGAACCAAGGCTTCATGCCTTTAGCCAGTCACTTGTTCAGACTCTGGGAATTGATCTGGAGCAGTTAGGACTCCACTGAAGAATGTTCCTGACAGTAATTTACACACTAAACTGTATTGCAGCGCTATTAGTTCATGGTTTACTGGCACAGAGGTTGTAAGTTGAAGAAGTCTGAACACACACACACTGATTTTAGATTTTTTGTTGAGTCGAGCTGACATTTGTTTTTTATGGCGACTGTTCGTGGGCTTGGATCGAGGCAGCAGATGGGAACAGACCGTCCTCCCTTTTGTGCTGTGATGCTGAAACTGTTATTTTGCTGTAGTGTGTGAAATCTTTACACCATTATATGCTCAGCTAATTAGATATAATGGTTTTCTCTGAAGAAGCAATGCTGATGATGCTGTTAGTGAATTATTCACAGGAACCTGTTCACATGTGCTGAAGCATGTAGATATCTAGAGCTCTGCTTGACCTCAGGCTCATGCGGTGCTGTCAGAACAGAACCAACAGCTCTGAAGCGTCAGAACAAATATGCTGGTAGCTGAAAATACACATGGACATTGATATAGTGACATCTCAATCACTGAATACAGGCTCATAATGAAAAAGGTAGCAGAGCCAGTGGTATTTGTTTTTATTCCACAACAGAAAATGCAAGTTTTTCCACTGGATTAAATTTTCTTACATGTTTCAAATGATTCTCCATCAAATTTAATTGAGAAAACTAAGAATTTAAAAGGTGAAATCTTAAGCAGACATATCAGCATACAGGATCGGTCAACATTACAAGAAAGGTATTGCTAAAAAGTCAGCTGCATCATTCTAATGTATGTAAGGCAACGTGTAGCTGCTCTACACAGTAAAACATTGTATGACATTTGCAGAAGACATCAGTGCAGTAGTAAAGAAATAAGAGAAAATCAACGAAAAATTCACCAAAAACAAAAGTGCTTTGCTTCCACTGTGGCTATATTTACATGATCTTCTTCCAGTATATAAATCAATAAAAGAATTCACGTCATACATCTCACCTAGGAGATATGACAGATTTACCACAAGCACATAGAAATGAACAGCAGAAGTCAGGTTGTAAAAACGAGCGCAGCTTGCAATAGCTTCATTTTTAAATGGACTGTAACAAATGCAAGCTGGACTTGCGTTTTAAATCCACAATGCTACAGAACACGCAGGAAAATAATACAGTTGAACCGAGCAGCTAGTACATTGATCCCTGTGAGACAAAGTTTTGCAGTCTGACCTGCTGCTCCTCGACTGGACTTGGACTCGACTGGGCCCCGAACAGTTGACGCAGCATCACCTTCAAATGGCTCCTGAACTTCACGCCAACAAATGCATAAAAGACCGGGTTCAGGCAGCAGTGAGAGAAAGCAATGAGCCGGCACACGTGGAACGCGTAGTCAAGCTTGATACTTGCTTCGCACTCGTTGAACGGTGGAATCAATCTCTCGTCCAGAACCTTCAGAAAGATGACCACATTGTACGGCACCCAGCCTGCGAAGAACACAGCCACGATGCAGAACACCAGCTTGACTGCTCGGTTCTTGGTGTGAGATTTTGCTCCTGTGATCCTCTTCAGTATTCTGATGTAGCAGAAAGCCATCACCACAAAAGCCAACAAGAAGAAGGCATTCTGTTGGGCGGTGCTGATGGTTCTCCACTGTTTAGAACTGTACCCACAGCCAGTGGAGTGTTTATCCTTGTGGTGGACAGTGAAGAGGGAGCTGTAGAGCAGGGAGGGCATTGCTGCCCCAATGCTGATCGTCCACATTAGGAAAGACACAAAAACCCCGGTGCTGCGTTTCTGTGTGCGCAGGTCAGACAGAGGGTGGACCACGGCCACGTACCTGTGGATGGTCATGATGGTGAGGAAGAGGATGCTGCTGTAGAACCCGGTAAAAAACACAAAAGTTACAATTTTGCAGAATGCCTCCGGAAGCAACCATCCCCAGATGTGGTAAAAGGCCCAGAAGGGGAGCCCGGTGGTGAAGACGATGTCCGAGATGGCCAGGTTGAGGATGAAAATGTTGGTTAGAGATTTGAGGTTTTCATACAACCCCAGGATCACGAGGACGAGGATGTTTCCCGTCAGGCTCAGTGTGATCACAATGGAAAAGAAGAGTGGGACGACGATGGATCCAAATTTGACCATTTCGCCCTTTTCACAGATTTCATCTTCAGTGAGATTATTAATATCATCATAATCATAATCATCCACAGTGTTGTTGAAAGAGTCATTCATGGCTGCTCAACTGGAACCTAGAAAAGGAATGCAGGGTTAGTGTGTGAGTTCACTGACAAATGATCTAATTTTGTGCGAACAGGATTGGGAAAAAAAAAGAAAGCGTGACCTACCTCCTCCTCAGTGGGACTGCTGATAAGGCTGCTGGAACTGGCTCGTACTTAAAAGGAAGCGCTCAGGCTGATGTAGGACACTGTTTTGGTTCCTAATTCTGTTTTATCGCCACACGTCACATCTGGATGGATAGCTATGTAGGTAGGTGTGGCAACAGAATGAGGAATGCAAACATTTCCTGTCCTATATAAAGTATACACACACACACACACACACACATATATATATATATAGACACATACATACATACATATATACATATATATATATAAAAATAAAAAAACAGTAAAGCACGTTAGAATTTCTTCATTAAGATGTCAGATTATAGTTATTTACTTGCATTGCTGAACAGAAAAATTAGCTTTAGTAGTTGAATGTTTGATTAAGCCCTGTGATAGGCTGGTTACCTGTCCAGGTGAACCTGCCTTCACCCTGAGTCAGCTGGGATAGGCTCCACCCCCCACGGCCCTAGTGAGGATTAAGGTGTAGATGATGGATGGATGTTTGATTAATTTCTGACTTCTCAGAGAAGCCGGCTCAAATTTGGGTATAAAAAGGTGAATTCAGTTTGAAACTCCTCATTCCTGCTCCAAATGGTAACACGTGGAGAGCTGAGTGTGCACTGAAGCGCTCCACGATGCTGGATGGTGTCGGACACTAACAGGGACGGACAGAACGTGTTCTCACAGTGGGCTCAGGTACCATCTGGAGTCAATGGCTGAGGCTGGTTCTGACCAAATGCACCAAGGAAGAGGCAGCAAATGAAAGTTAAGTGAAGCAGACGTCAGACAGCTCAAGATCTGAAGGACTAGAGACAGAAGGAGGACCACTGCTGATGTTCAGGCAGAGATGAATGCTTCTAGACCAGAGTCTGAGAAAGTCTCCAGATAAGCAGACGGCTGATGGAACAAGGCTTAGAGGGAAGGAGAGCTGCTGAGAAGCCTTCACTGAGGCCTGCAAACATCGAGCAGAGCCTCAGGTTTGCCAGGGAGCACAAACACTGGACTGTTGGTGACTGGAAGAAGGTCCTCTGCATGGCTGAGTCCAGGTTTGAACTCT